TAATTTAATTTTTTATTAAATATTAACTTTGAATCCATTAAAACCTTTCCTTCCAAATTTGGCCATTTATGATTTTTCCGACGATGTTCATGATGTAATGGAAAAAGAAGAGGATTTTTGTCTTTATAACGATTTGTTGATTTGATAATTTTTTTATTATGTAGAAGACGGATATAGAATTTAAGTGATTCTCGACAATATTGAGAATGAATAATAATTGTTTGCTGATTATCCTATTTTAATAAAAAATAATAAAAATTAGTATTGATGACAATGCAACATATTTATATAACTATCAAATATACCTTTTTTCTTTAGAAATGAAGACAATGCTTTTTATATTTAATTTCATTATTTTGACAGATAACTTCATTTTGAGCTTGAATTGCACCTGTAATAGTATGGTCAAGCATCTCATATGGACAGTTCTTCATGAAACTCCATTCAAGAGTATGTGAAATCTTAAGTTTAAGAAGAGATCAAAACCAAAATTGACGAGTTGATAAATGACCATGGTTGAAATTTGCAACTACCATGTTATAAACAAGCCTGTATATAATATATAAAGTTAAAAATTGCAATGTTTTTAAAAGAAACAATAATGAAAACAAAATACCTAGCACAACCCATCCATTGTTTCAACAAAGTTTTCTGTGAGGAATTCGGGTACACTCTAACCTTTAGAGATCGAGTTAGATCAGTCTTCTTTTGACATTTCGCGCGATAAGTTGATTTTAACGGCTTCTTGCGTTTTCTGTTGCTGTTATTTTCATTCTTGTCAATATCTACATAGTGTATTGGTTAGCTAATATTATTAGAAAAAATAAAGGATAAATAAATAAGTTGAACAAACCTTGTTGATCGTTTTCCTTGGATGGTAAGGATATTTTAACAGAGTTTAGTTTCGTATTTGGAGGAGCTATCTTGTAAGAAAACTAAGAGTCTTGTACCATCGAGTTTAAAAAATTATTATTTGCTATCATATGCGAATTAACATAGTCAGTCCCTATAGGAGACCACAACTTTTGCGACTATTCCGCGATTTGCTTATTCCAGTATAGTTTACAAGCCGGGTCTCTTAAAGTTAATGCCACTTCCGATGAGTTCGTGTTGGGTACACTGTTGTTATCTTTTAAGTTCTTCTTTCTTTTTTGCACTTGAAACTTCATAATTTTTTTGTATGATAAAGGAGGTGGAGGAAGAGGGGGAGGAGGAGGAAGTGGTGGTGGTGATGGAATCCATAATATTTAAGACATAATAAAGTCGTGCACGAAATGCTATTTTATAGTTGCGATGCCAGCGACAAAGTGTACACAAGGAAACACCGATAGAAGAAGTCTGAGTGAAGCCTGAGTGACAGTAATAAACATTTAAATATTTTGCGAAAGTTTAAGCTTTTTTGAAGGTTAAGCTTT